AAAAAAAAGATCTAAATATTAAAACAAACACTAAACTTGCTGGAAGATAAATTAGGCAGAACTCTTGAAGACACTGGCATAGGAAAAGACTTTATGAACAAATCCTCAGTAGCACGGGAACTAGCAGAAAGAATCAACAACTGGGATCTCATCTTATCAAAAAGCTTCTGCACTGCAAAACAAACCATCAACAGAACTAAGAGACAACCTACAATGTGGGAAAAAAGTTTTACCAGCTGCTCATCAGACAAAGAACTAAAAACAATCAGCCCCCCCAAGTATAAAGACCCAATTCACATATAAAGACCCAATTCAAAAATGGGCATCTGACAAAGAAGTAAAAGCAGCAAGTAAATATCTGAAAAAATGTTCCACATCATTGGTCATTCGAGAAATGTAGATGAAAACAACACTGAGATTCCACATCACCCCACAAAGAATGGCTGCTATCAAGAAATCACACAATAACAAATGCTGGCTGGGTTGTGGGGAGAAAGGAACCCTTCTCCATTGTTGGTGGGAGTGCAGACTGGTGCAGCCACTATGGAAATCGATATGGAGACACCTCAAAGAGCTGGGACAAGAGGTTCCATTTGACCCAACTATCCCTCTGCTGGGTATCTTTCCAAAAGAATTAAAAGAATCATATCATAGAGATATATGCACACCTATGTTTATAGCAGCACAGTTTGTAATAGCTAAAACTTGGAAACAGCCCATTTGCCCATCAGTTGGAAATTGGATAAAGAAGATGTGGTTTTTCTATAAAATGGAATACTACTCAGCCATAAAGAATGAGAAATTAGATTCATTCATAGGAAAATGGATACATATTGAGGATATACTCTTACGTGAAATAAATAAGTCACACATTTGTAAATACTGAATAGTACCTCTGTTGTGAATAAAGTACAATAGTACATAAGATCCTAATGAAATAATTGACAATATGAAATAGGAAGAAAAGGGCTAAAGGTATAGTGAAAGTGGAAAGGGTAGGGGAAAGGTAATAAGGAAAAGGAAAAAAATAGGAGAAAATGAAAAAATGGAAATAAAATGTCTAAATGGGGAGGGGAGGAGGAGGTGAAGGAAGGGCAGGGACAAGGGGAAAAAAATGAGAAGCAAGACCTGTCATGTAAAGGTACAAGATCCCAATGATGAATGTAACTGTACTGTATACCTAAAATGTACCAATAAATTCAATGAGGAAAAAAAACGAGTACATGTAATATTTGCAAATGTTCTTTCAAAAAAGAAACCTGTTTCAAAACTAAGACACAGAGAAGGGAGAGGGAAAAAATGAGAAAAGACCTGTCATGTAAAGGTACAAGATCCCAATGATGAATGTAACTGTACTGTATACCTAAAATGTACCAATAAATTCAATGAGGAAAAAAAACGAGTACATGTAATATTTGCAAATGTTCTTTCAAAAAAGAAACCTGTTTCAAAACTAAGACACAGAGAAGGGAGAGGGAAATGAGATGAAAAGGGAAGGATATCATGAAGTGTTGTGTACATGCACCAAGTACTTACAAGGAATGCAATTATTATGTACTACAAATATGGATAAAAATAATACACACATACACACAGCAGATGGGGTCCAAGAGATGTGGGAGGGGGGTAGAAGGAGGGGGTTAAAAAAAGGAATGAAGAAATGTCATGTATATATACCAACTCCACACTACAAACATGTACCAATAAAAAGTAAGAAATTATTACAAGCTGTTCTATTAATTAATGAGATAGTCCAGAATATTAAACAAACAAAAGCCACAGGAATTTATGAGTTGCATTAATTCTGTATCATACTTTTATCAGCCATTGGCAGAAAAAGGGAAGAAATAAAATCCCAGACATATCCACATATACACAAATAAGATATACTACATTGAGATTAAATATTGATATTTAATTATTTTACTGAAGAAACTCCAAGAAAATATTTTATTTCATCAGAGATTTTTAATGGCTAAATGGAGCCCATACATAAAAGACAGAAAATTTATCCCAGTTGCAGTATTATCTTGAGTCACACAGACATCTTTATGTTATCTAAAATCAAGGTGACAGCATTCTCTATTAAACAAATTACAGTTAAATATGCATTAGAAATATAACCCCGCAGAGCGAAATTAAAATTTACTCTTACATGCAACCAATTTGGCAAGGTAGCTACTTAAGCATTTAAAATTCCCCTAAGTATCATTCTTACCTGGAAATCAGACTGAAATACACAGCAGTCAACACTTTTATAATGTCCCTTAAGCATAGTTATCTGTTCTCCTGAGTAAACTGTATAAACAGCAATGGTGCTACCATATGGTACAAAAACGAATTCTGAACTGCAGTCATAGGAAACAGTGAATTTCAATCCTTTCTTACTGTTGTTACAAACTTTTCCATAATTTACCTATGGGATTAAAATAATAAAATTAATCATTTCTTAAATCTAAATTAAAAAGACAAAGACTGAAATAAATACTTCCTTCAAATATTATAATCTTTATAGAAAGGGCATTAAATTTAAAAAATGTTTAATAACACAAATAATAAATACAGGCAAATGTTCATATGTCAATTTCAAGAGAAATAAATATGTAAATTAAGGCAATCTTAGAGAATCATTTTGGACAGGCAAAAAAATTATTTTAAGGAGTGCTGGGAATTGAATCTAAGCAGGTACTCTATCACTGAGCCTTGATCCCTAGTTTGACAAAATCTGAATAAACATAAGACATTCAATATTGGCAAAACATGTTTGTAGCATTATATTTTAGTTATTTCTCATTTATTATGCAACAAATGCAAAGATATTATTTGGGGGGAGATAGTACATTATAAATAACCTCTTACTCTTTTCATTAAAAATTTTAATTGTAGTAAAAAAACATAAAAATTTCCACCTTAACCTTTTTTTTTTTTTTGATCCTTGTACTTGCAATGCAGGTGATGAAACCACTGAGCAAAATCCCTACCCCCCCCTTCTTAACCACTTTTAAGAATACAGTTCAGTGCCTTTGGTACATTTACACTGTCGTGCAGTCATTACCAAGTACCATCTCTACAATTCTTTGTTATCTTCCAAAACTACTCAATGAACAACAAAGATATTCTTATCCCTTGACTTAGTAATGGCTCCTAGAAGCTTATCTTCAGGAAATAAACAGCATAAAGTAATATGCCCAGAGGAGTTCTTTAAAAAAGCAGCATTATTCAAAAAGGCAAAGAAACTGAGAATGGATGTGTATTCCTCTTGTTATATATTAACTTTATGTATCATAGAAACATATGATTTCATAGAAATCATATGAAAACTGCAGGATATAAGGGTAAAGGCTAAGTAGAAAAAAAAGCACAGAATGTAGTGTGCACTATAATTTCAAGTTTATGTAAATAATCATGTAAATGTGAGAAAAATTAAAATTCTGCACTTGTACATAAAAGGGGACGTCTGTAAGCCCAGAGAGTGAGCATCACCAGAGCAGTTAGATGTGCAGACTTCCGGGCCTCTCCCCAGTATTACTGAAGGAGAGTTTTTATTTTTACAAAATCCCCAGGCAATCTGTATGTATATCAAATTCTAAGAAATTTTCAGTTAAAGAAATTGACAGGTTTACTTCTTGCTGATAATTAAAATCAATAATTAATCATTTGGGAATTATGACTATGTAGATCACCAAGTTTTCTCCGTGGCTAATACATTTTAAAAAAGGTGCTTGGCGCAAACTCTCTTTTTTAAAGGTTGGGTGGAAGTATGCGTGTTTAATACACAGATATAAACACTGAGGCCCAAATGGAGATATGTGATAAACTGTGGATAATGTACTTGGATTACCTAATTAACATTTAACAGAAAGGAGTGCAAGCATTTAAGTACCCCATAGTAGCTGTGATATAAATAGGTTAAACATTACACTTTACATTTCAACAGACTTGGGTTTTAAAATCCAGTGTGAGTAATGATTTTACCTTTGAGTCTAATTCTCCTAACCTGTTAAATGGAAATAAATAATGTTACTTATCATAGATTTTCTGTGAAAAATGCAAGTGATAATAATGCATCTGAAAGCATCTGGGATAGAGTCATTAAGTCTTCAAATTTATTAATTCCTACACATTTTAAAGTTTAGCATTCCCTCACTTGCATTTGTTGATTATCTATGTACAGTAATTTGTAGAGTGATATGGAGGGGGTAAAGACAAAACACAAAATATTTCTGAACTAGCAATCCTCTGTTCCCCCTGCAAAAATTATAAACTGCTAGACTGTTATCGCCTTATTCACATTTATTTATCATCTATCTACAAAACCTATACTCTATTCACTATACTCTTACCAAATGCAAATGGAACATGTTGAATAGGTTTAAATACAGAACTAGCTTTCTAACTTTAACCTTTGTTGTTAGGCTTTCCTCTTCCAATTCATCCTTTCCAAATCACTACCATGATCAAATCACTTGTGGATTCAAATAAAGTCCAAATAAAAGATTAAGAAAGGAAGGTCTCTACCATTTACTAAGTGCTTGCTATGTCACCATTTTATAAATATAAATGCTCACCATAAAATGTAGCCCACACTGGCACTGGCATAAAAGCAGCACATAGACCAATGGGATATAATTTATGACCCAGAAATAAACTCACTTATCTACAGCCAACTGATTCTTGATAAAGGTGCCGAAAATTTATATAGGAGGAAAGATAGGAAATATAAGGAAGGATTGACAAATGTGATTATATCAAATTAAAAAGCTTTGGCACAGCAAAGAAAATAATCAACAGAGTAAACAATTTATAGAGCAGGAAAAAATCTTTACCAGCTATTTATCTGACAGAGGGTTGGTATCCAACATATATACAGAATTTAAAAAACTTAATATCCAAAGAATAAGTAATTCAATCAAAATGAGCAAATAATATTAGCAGACACTTCTCAAAAGGACAAATAGCCAAAACAATGAAAAAATGCTCACCATCTTAAATTTTCAGAATGCAAATCAAAACCACATTGAAAATACATGAGGCCATTCCCTTAAGTGAAATAAATAGGACAGAAGTGTGAATACCTTAGTCTCTCTGGTGTGAGAAACTGGAAGTGTAAATGATGACCAAAATGTATAACAGATAATGTAAAATAGGAAGAAAAGGTCCAAAGGGGAGGGGGAAGGGTAAGTGGCAAGAGTAGGGGAAAAGAAAGAAGGGAATGGAATTAACATGAGAAAATGAAAAAGTGGAAACAAAGCCTTTGTAAACAGGGAGGGGCAGTGGGGGCTGACAGGTGGGCAGGGGGATGGGGAAAAAATAAGAACCAAGCTATATCACATAAAGGTAAAAACTCCCAATGATGAATGCCATTATACTGTATGCCTAAAATGTGCCAATAAACTAAATGAATTAAAAAAAAACCACACTGAGATTCTGTCTCACCCCAAGCAGAATGGCTACTATCTCACATGCGTGAGCAAACACACACACACACAGGATGTAGAGATAACAGAACACTTACACACTATTAGTGGGAATGTAAATTAGTAGTCACTATGGAAAACAATATAGAGGTTCCTCAAAAAACTAAAAATAGAACTACCTTATGATTAAGCTATTCACTCCTAGATATTTATCCAAAGGAAATAAAAGTCAGCATACAAAAGCAAGGCCTACATACCTGTGTTTGTTGTGGCTGTATGCATAATAGACATCCTATGGAATCAGCCTATGTGCCCATCAACAGACAAAAGGATAAAGAAAATACTGTGTGGTATATATACACATATTGGAGTATTAGTCATAAAGAATAAAATTATATCATTTGCAGGAAAGTGGCTAGAACTGGAGGCCATAATGATAAATGAAATGTCAGACACAGAAAGGGATGTATTACATGCTTTTAGTTCAATTATATGTGGAAACAAAAAAAGAAAGAAAAAAAGAGAGCAAGAAAGGAAGGAAGGAAGAAAGGAAAGAAAGAGAGGGAGAAGTGGAAGACAGGGAAAGGCAAGAGATATGCGAAGGGAGGATGGGCATGATGAAAACATGATATGTGCTTGTATGTATGTACCACAGTGAAACCATTAGTTTGTCAAATTAATATGTTTTAATAATTACAATAAAAAGCAGTGTGTAGTAAGCTTCATGCTATAGATTATTATGGAAGTGCTGAAGAACAAGCTGCTTTTGGCTGTGATGCCTTAAAGGTGGTATTTAAGGCAGGCTTTGAAAAGTTCTTGATAGGCAAGGAGGATTTTTTAGATTTGGTATAGAGTAATGACAGATCCAACTCATTATTCTGTGAGCATCTTTTGTTGCCTCAGAAAGATAATACACTTAAATCAGCAGGTAAAAACCTAAAGTGACAGAGATTCCTTCACAAGGGAACTCATTTTATTGTCAAATAGGTATTAGCATAATAATCATGTACTCCAGATAACATTTACTGAACACCAAAATTTGCTGTATCAGATAATGAAATAATGTTTCCTTAAACCAACAGTATTAGATAGGCAGCATAATTATACATCAAGAAAACATTGAGAAAGGCTAAGCAATTTGATCAAGGTCTCTCGGCTAGTAAAATGATAGAAATCAATTTGGATCTAGATTACATTAATCAAAAACCATTGTGTGGTATTGTGGTACATGCTATATTGTAATACAGGTTAAGTACAGGGTTTTCTGGGAGCATCTTAGCTAGATAAGAAGAGTTAAAGAGAGGTTGTGCCTGACATGAATCTTGAAAGCTGAGAAGAGTATTTTAAAGAAAGGCAGCAGTCTGTGTAGCAGGATGAAAGAAAGAAAGCATGGTATAAAGACCTCCTTTGAGTTCAGTATGGCTAAGACAGGGACAAATGGAAGAGGAGCAGGGAATAAAGCTAGTGAGATAGAAGGACTTGAATACAACAGACAAAGGCATTCAGTTTTAGGGTCTGAAACCACGGAGGAAGCAATGAGACTTCCATGGGGAGATCAATTTAGGATAGTTAGAAGGATAGTACAGTAATTAAATAGAGAGATGAACCCAGCTGTGAGGCTGGAAGGACAGACATGAAAACAATCAAGAAGGAGGAATTAATAAGACTTGTGTGCCAGGGATTAAACTCAGTGGTTCCGGTGCCTGCCTCACAAGCACAAGGTTCTGAGTCTGATCCTGGTACAAAAAAAAAAAAAAA